GGAACATGGATTTCAGAGAGTTTGGAAAGTCTGCCTGAAGTTGCTGCTCACATGTCCTGCTCCTCAAGCACCGTTTCCCAGCTCCACCTGCGCGCACGCACGCGGAGCTTGGGGGGTTCTGCCCCAGGATGCTGAGAGAGGAGATGAAATCCTTCCCTGGCAGGGTGGGCAGGCCCTGGCACAGGGTGCTCAGGGAAGCTGTGGCTGCCCCTGGATCTCTGGAAGTGTCCAAGACCAGGTTGGACAGGGCTTGGAACAACCTGGGATAGTGGAAGGTGTCCCTGCCCATGTCCCACCCCAGGAGTGGAATGGATGGGATTTAAGGTCCCTTCCAACCCAGCCCATTCCATGATCCTATGGTTCCCCTGAGGGAAGGAGAGGATGCTCCCATCCCACTGGATGTGATTGTGCTGGCCCCACTGGCCAGATCTGATAAGGAAAAACTTGGAGAGCAGGGGTGATCCCTATGCTGAAAGGCAGCCTGGGGCTTCCCTAAAATCCCAGTGATGGATGGAGGGGAGGCAGGCTCAAGCTGGCACAGCCACAAAGCCTTAAAACTTAACAAGAGTAAGAAAAATAAACACTGGCAAAGATCTTTCTGTGAAGAATATTTCCAAGAAAGCTTTTTAATTTTTCTGCTTGTTTTCCAGCTGAAAAGCTTTCCTATTATCCCAGGCTGTTGCAGGAAGTGCAGCAGCACAAGGGGACCCAAACAGATGAGGCTCTGAGCAGCCATTCCTCTTTGAAACACAGCTCTGTCTAATCCTGCTCCGAGCAACTTCAGGCAGCATGGTGGGAAAAAAACTGCTGGTTGCTGGCACCTTGCCTAATGTAAGCATTCCTGCTGCTACCCTCAAAAACATCGAAGGATTTTTTTTCAGTGACAAGTTCTGCACAGAGAACTGAAAAACTTCTCCCTGGGTTTCGCTGCACTGGAAAAAAAAAATATAAAAATTTCGTAAGAATCTGATTTTCTGAAATAGGAATCGATTTTAATTTTAATTTTCGTCCAAGTGCAGCACAGGTGCTTTAGCATTTCTGTTGCTGTGAGCATTGTCTCAGAAAAGCTGCAGAAAGATAAACCAAGGGAGATGAAAGAACCCATCCCAGAAAGAGAGGGCTGTGCATGTGCAGATAGTGTGGAGAGAGAAGAATCAGCATGACCTTTATGGAAGGGCATAAAAGGGATGAGCGTCAGTCCTTGGAATTGGTGAACCACCCTGAGCTCAGTGTCCATCATCGTGATATCTGAATACTTGGGCAGAGGTCAATGATCAAAGCAGGCACGTTCAAGGAGGGAAAAAAAGCCCTGCAAAGTGCAGTAAAAATGCTCGAGTTTGCTGAAGACCAGATTTAAACCTCATTGAACACCTCAGCTTTGGTGCAGACGAAAATGAAGGAAGCCAGAATTGCTGTTTGAAAGCTGACACTTGAAACATGCCTGGAGCCAAAGGAAGGCAACATGAAATCTAGAGTTACCCACACCATTTAACTCTGATCCATTGTACCTGCCTGAGAACAGCGACTGCAGGAGGATCATCCTCCTCATCCTCCTCCTCTGCACATGGAGCCCAGGATTTCCAGAAGGAAGGAAGGAAAGAAGACACGGTTCTCCCACAGTTACCACCACAGATTTTGGGAGCTCATTTGCAGCAAGTCACCTGCACATCTCCCAGAACATCATCTTTGATGGCCTAATTTGGATTTGGGGGTCTTCAAAAGTGCAGTAATCCTCTGAGGGTGCAAATCTACATTGTGGTGGGGGAAGAAAAATCCCCAAGGGCATCTTTTAGGTCACTGGGCAGATTTGTAGCCAAGTGCTGGAGAATAAGGAAATAACTGGAACTGAAAACTGCTTTGAAGTGCAAGAGAGATGTGGAAACCATAGAATCACTGGATATCCAGAGTTGCAAAGGACCCACAAGGATCACTGATCCAACTCCTGTTCCTGCACAGATACCTCAACACTCCCACCCTGGGCATCCCTGGGAGTGGTGTCCAAACTCTCCTGGAGCTCTGGCAGCCTCGGGGCACTGCCCATTCCCTGGGGAGCCTGGGCAGTGCCAGCACCCTCTGGGGCAAGAACCTGTCCCTGAGATCCAGCCTAAGCTCCTCTGACATTCAACAGCTTGGAGAAAATACCCAGAACAGCCTGAACCTGGCTGGACTCGAGGATCTTCGAGACCTTTTCCAACCTGAACGATTCGGTGATTCTGCCTTGCACCAACACAAATCCCAGAAAATGCAAAGGCTGCCAGGATTTGGAAAGAGCAGCCCCTTCAGCCTTTTTGAGTCTTGCTAGGACGTCCTTAATGGGAATGTACAACCACTATTACTCTTTGTGAGACGCCCTTCTCCTAAAAGGACAGGCAGCTCGAGCACGCCTCATTGCCTTCTCCTTCAGCTCCCGCTGACAGACGAGGCTGCCTGTCCTCGCTGTCAGCCATCCCCTCCCAGCCCTGCCAAGGATTCAAGGACCAGCAAGATTAGCTGTCTGCTGAAGGATGCCCAGAGCTCTGGGGTGCCCAGAGTCCTGCATGGAAACTCCTGATTCTGCTCTTGTGGCCAAAGTGCTGCTTTTCAACAGCAGGGTTGTGCTTGAGAAGAGATGTTGTAAAATTACAGAATTTAACAACCACTGAGGCCCTCCTGAGACATAACTGGCAAGTCCCAAACAGAACAGAGTGCTCACCTCAGAAGACAAGTGAGAAGAGGCAAGTCAATGGAAGCTGATAGGATCATGCAGAGGTCTGAACACTGTAACAGGAGGTGTTGGCAGTGCTGGAGCGTGTCCAGAGGTGGGAATAGAGCTGGGGAAGGGGCTGGAGCCCCAGGAGCGGCTGAGGGAGCTGGGAAAGGGGCTCAGCCTGGAGAAAAGGAGGCTCAGGGGGCCCTTCTGGCTCTGCACAACTCCCTGCCAGGAGGGGACAGCCGGGGGAGGCTCTGGTCTCAGGGAACAGGAACAGGAGGAGAGGGAACGGCCTCAGGCTGGGCTCAGGTTGGATATTGGGGAAAATTTCTTCAGAGAAAGGGTTGTCCAGCCCTGGCACAGCTGCCCAGGGCAGTGGTGGAGTCCTCATGCCAGGAGGATTTAGCATTTGTGTGGATGTGGCACTTGGGGATGTGGATTACTGGTGGGCTTGGCAGTGCTGGGGGAATGGTTGGACTCGATGATCCCAGACGGCTTTTCCATCCCAAATGATTCTGCTCCCTTTAAGGCTCCCTGTGTGTTACTGAGTTGCTGCTGGCTAACAACTTCTTGCCCTTCTGGAAGCACACTGATCCCATTTCTAGAAGAGGGGACAATTTTGTTGAGCTAGTGCAAGAGTATTTCAGCTAAGACAGTGGACGAAGAGGAGAAGAGGAAAGCGAGGAGGATGAAGGACGGACTCTGCAGTCAGAACAGTGATACCAGGGACAAGAGACCCAACTGCAAACCCCCCACTGCTCCCTCTTGGTCTGTGCCTACTGCCCAGGACCACACAGGCTCCAGCTCCAGTGCCTTGTGAAAATAAATCTCCCCAGGAGAAAGAAAACATACACCTATTAGCTGCTCAGAAAGAGATTTTTCAAAGGCTCTCGATATCCAGCTGGTCTTGATTCATATTGACTTCAACAAAATATTCTTGGGCCAATGGTGAATGCTCTGAAAAATCCCCTCTGTAATTTGCCATTGAGGTATGAAAATAAGTGGTGTAAAAGGGCTTCTTTAAAAGAAAAAGGGAAAAAAAAGGCCAAATTAAAAATGAAAGGTTGAACTAAAATTTGGCTTTGGGCCATAAACTAGGGGGGAAACTAACAGCAAAGATAGTTAAATGACTGGAAAGAGAACACAACAGGAGCTGTTATGAAAAAAAAGCTGATGGGTTTTTAAAAAAGGATTTGTATAGATAGCTGGGGAAATAAATTCCGGATGTGATAGAAGTGCAATTGAGAAATTAAATAAATGGAAAATAAGGATGACTAAGTAGTAGTTAACATGCCCCTTCTCAGTTGTATACTATTATCACATCTATTTTTAATGTCTCTTCAGCTGTCTGCAATTGTCATCCTTTCTTCAGAACTTGTTCCAACATTCTTTGATACTGAATTAGCTGTTTTTTACTCTCCCATGCTTACAACCACATCTTTTTCTTACTCAACACTCCCCTTTTCCCACAATGTTATTCCATTGTCTCCCTTTTTCATCTCTCCTTATGTGTTGACTCCCCAGTTTCTGAGCCCTCCAACCACCCTTGTTCATCTTTTTTTTTCTGGAGCTCTTTTGGTTGAATCCTAGCATGTTTCTTTTCTTCTTTTCTAAAGCTGCAAGCATGTTTTATATCATATCTGGCTCCTGTACACATTGTTACTCCTTCAGAAGGGCATTGAACAGCTACAGCAGTGTGGAAATAGTGAGCTAAACTAAGGGAGAAAATGAAGTTCTTTTTGGCTTTTGCTTTCTGGCTCATAAAAAAAAAAAAAGAACCCAAACATTTAAACTCTCCCCTTTTCCTTTTTATCCTCAAATAACACAAGCTTTCCATGAGCAGGTGAATATTCAAACAATGAGAGGCCATCAGAAGTGCTGGCCATTCTAGAGCTCAGGATGTGCCTAAGGAGATGTGATAACACAAGATTTAATAATACTGAAAAAAATACCCACGTTCTGATGTGATCTGTGGGCTACGGAGTGAACCTGAATTTTTCCTCCTTGTTAACCTTCCAAGTGTGCCTCTTCCTTACCTCAACACCTAATGATGGCTCCATATTAACTTGAGTACTCTGATTTATTAAAAAAAAAAGTAAAAAAATTACTCTAAACACATTTCAGGCAGCTGAATTCACCACTGTGATGCCTCAAAGGGTTCAGCTCCATCATTACAAGCTCAGTCTCTAATTTCTCACAATTCCCCTTCCCTTGTGCATTCAGAGCCAAGGCTGTAGCTGAGCTAACAACACTCTTTGGAATGGCATTTTCAAAATCCAGGCTTGATTTATACTTTTTTTTTGAAACCTACCTTCAGCTGTGCCCGAGATCCCATCAGCTTTGAAGTTGCTTGTGCTTTTCTTCCGGCGGTGCTTCTTTCTGTTGGCGTGGGGGGAAGGAGGGGGGTCCAGTTTGGGGCTGGTGGTGCTGGATATGCTGGGGCTGGAACACACTGAATCTCCCAGGCCTGTGTCTGCAGTTGGGGGAGGAGAGAAAAAAAGGGAGAAAAGTGAAAATGCTGTGAGATTTAAATGAGTTGATCGTTAGAATCCGAGCTATAACCCCTGGCTGTTTGCAGATATGTTCTTAAGCTCTTTCAGGAGATTCTCCAAGCAATAGCCATCGTTTTGTTCAAAAAGGTACAAAAAAATCCCAACTTGGCTGAAATGCTGAGTCAAGCCCTGTTAGATTAACAGAACTCAGAATCAATTTTAGGAGCAGGTCTGCTGGAACACACAAAAACAAAGGGAAAGCACTTTATTGCTTCCAATTGCTCCTTCCTCCAAAGATCTTACCTATCCACAAATGAATTTGTGTAACACTTGGACATTTTAATACACAAACAGAGCTACCCCTGCATCCCCTGGATGTTCTCTGCTGCCATTAATATCAGACAGACACACACTGAAAAGGCAGTGAAGGAAATAAAGGCAGGAAAATAGTGTACACCTGGTACAGGTAATAATGGTGTGATAAAGGGTCACTTCCTACCTGCTCACAAGGAAAAGAAATAATCCCATGTTACCCTCTTCAGTTTCCTGCTTTATTAACTCCAACAATTTTAAGAACTGGGTCCTTCCACATAGTAAATACTCAAGTAACCTTAATCCAGGATTTCCCCCCAAGGTTGGTAATATGATTTTTGTTTAATTACTGGCTTGGTTTGGATTTTAATTATAAAATTCCACATAAAACCTACACTTAAAGGAAAGTACTTGCTATTATGGAAAGCGAAGCCATTTCCAGAACCTTGCTTAAATACCATATTGCACCTTAGTGCAGTATCAGGACTGCATTTATGTGCCATATCCTTAAAATCTCCTAGACAGATATTCAGCAAATACATTCCCATGATGGCCTTTTGGGGTTAAATACTTGATGATTGGTTTCAGAACAGCAGACACAGGGAAAAGAATAAAATCCTTATTATAAAGCTTAAGTGTAATAATAGGAGTGCATTTAACTTCATATGTCAGAAAAATACCAAGCCAATGATTATTTAAAAAAATAGCTCTTGAGTTTTTTTGGCATAGTTAAATTACCACAGAACTGCCTGTTTTACAAAACCCAACTTATTTTGGTTTCTTTTTCCTCCTAATAAAGTTTATTTACTAATTACCCCCTAAGCACAGTTGTGCTCTAAGTTATTAGTGGGGGATAAATTATGTAGCTAATTGCCTGGCAAGAGAGACCAAACCAAACATTAATCTTTATATTAAGGATTTCTGTTCTTTTCCCCACATCCACTAGCTTAAAACCAGTTCCCAAGAATTTAACCCCAAATGGGAATCACAGGAATGTATTTTACTCTGTGTAAGTGCAGGAGATTTTAAGGATTTAACTGGTGCAAGTGGCTCTCCTGGCATAGTTTGCTGTCTCTCCAGGAGAGAAGGAAGGCAAATCCAAGTGGAAATCCTGGTGGGATTTTGGTGCCAAGGGGACAGAGATCTCTTTGGATCCATGTCATGGAAAGAAGATGCAGAAAGAGGGTGCCAGAAACACAAAGGCACAGATGCAATGGGGTTACTGCCAGTCCCAAATCCTGACCTCCAGAGGAGCCATGGCTGCCCCATCCCTGAAACTGCCCAAGGCCAGGTTGGATGGAGCTTGGAGCAACCTGGGATAGTGGAAGGTGTCCCTCTCTGAGGTGTTGGAACTAGGTGATGTTTAATGTTCCTTCCAACCCAAACCTTTCTGGGATTCTATGATCCAAAATGCTTCACTTTCCCCCCCCCCTCATTCCCAGCTTTCACTTTAGAAACAATTAACCTGCCCGAGTTCATCACCTCCTGCACCTGCAGCATCAACCACCATGCCCTGCACCCATCAAACAGTGAAAAACCCCCACAATCCTGAGGCAAAACCACAGAATATATCCCATTAAAAACCATCAGGGTAGATCCACACACTGGTGGCAGCTCTGTCTAATTTCCAGGCCGTAAATCCCCCCAACAAAACCTGCTCGAGAGCTCTGAAAAATGAGGGACGTACGGGGTTGATGCCTGGCGTCGGAGAGCTGAAGAATTAACCTCCCGTGGTAAATCCTCGTCATCCACAGCCCCTTCCAGGTAATAACCTGCTGTCCTTGGGTCAAACTACTCTCAAGTGGGAGCCTGGAGCTCTCCCTCCCCCTCAACCAGCAAGGAAAGGCTGATCCCCCATAAACGGACCCGAGCCGATATCACCGGCGTGTCCCTGCCCCGGATTCCCGGTTCCCGAGCCCACCCTTTGAAGATGGGAGTTATTTAACATTCCCCTGGTTTAAAATATGAGCAATCAAAAGGCGCTGGGCTTCCACGCTGTGCTCTCCCATTTCCCACTCCTTCTCTTGCCTGACAAGGTATTCTTCAAATTGAAAAGGGGGCTCCTGAAAGCCCGGGCTTCGGGAAACTGTAAATGAGTTCAGGCTTCAGCCCGCTGAATGCAATTTCATCCTCCTGACTGAATACAAATAATGCATTTTATTTGGTATCAATTACCACGCCTGAGAACAGACGACCACTGCTGGCACTGTTAAATATATAATGAAATAAAATAAAAAATAAAAAAAAAAATAAAAAAGAAGGGGAAGAAAAAGGCATGGAAAAAGGCACGGCAAATTAAAAAAGCAAGCGCCTCATTACTCCCCATCTCAAGCAGCTTTGACAGAGGCACTGGAACTCATAAGCCGTGTTCCACTGGGCTGGGATGGGCTGTTTTGCAGCCATCCCGCACGTTCAATGTCAGCCATTAGTTCTTCCCAATCGGGCATCAATGTTCAACACACACCCGAAAAAATATATAATACTGGTAATAATAATAACAATCTGCAGCCTCTCCGAGCTTCAATACTTGAAGTATGAGTCAAAGCAGCAGTTTCACTTTTCACTCGGGAAGCTGACAAGCATGACTAGAGGGGGAATAAAATAACATTCAGTTCGCATAAATATCAAGCGGGCTGCTTGAGACTGATGGGCCAGGAATGTATTCTTAGCCATCATTCTGGCAGACAGGCCCAAGGACACTCATAACTTATTTTACAATCATTTAGTTTCAGCTCAAGTGGAAAACGTGACAACTTATCTCTGCTGACAAGATGCCATATCGAACCTTACAATTAACTCTCCCCCGATTATCTGCCCAGCCCATCATTAGCTCTGTGGCGCTTGATGGACTGTACGGGCGCAGCTTCCCTTGATGATGGTCATCATTTGCAGGGTGCAGAGCTCCATTACACGACACTGAGGACAAAACTCTCCCCTTGCCACCTAGCTGGGGTTGTCCTGACCGGCACGGCCTCGCTTTTGCAGCTGTTTTGAAGAGTGATGTGCAGCAAAACGCTGCTGGAAAATGTCTTCTCCCGTAAAGCGGAGCATCCTCGTGTTTCAGCCCGTGCCTGCTGCTGCCTGTGACCTCCAGGAGCGAGCCAGAGATGCCCAAGCTCTGTCCCAGCAGCCAGGAGCCTTCCTCCCTGCCCTCCATCCCTCCCCAGTGCCACTATTAAATACTCCTTCAGCAGGAGGGCAGAGCCGACACAGCCACACCGCAGAATCAGTCGGCTTGGAAGGGACCTTAAACCCCAACTCCTGCCATGGGACACCTTCCCCTATCCCAGGTTGCTCCAAGCCCTGTCCAGCCCGGCCTTGGACACTCCCAGGGTCGTGGCAGCCCTCAGGACGTGCAGCATCTCCAGACCCAAAAGCACCAAGTGACACTTGCTGACCAAACACCCCTCGAGTTATGAAGAGATGGGACATAAAGCCCCACTCCTCTTCACATGGTGATTTTTCTCTACAGGTGCACGACACGTGGATTAAAACAGATTGTTCTGCTTGTGCAAGTCCAACCTTCATTTGTGAGAATTTACCAAACAAAACAAAAAAGCCAATGCAGCTTTTACTCCGCAAAGAAAGTGCCATGTCTGCTTCTCTCCAAGATCCATTTTGTAATTATGGTCATGAGAGAAATTCCTTTCAAGTATGACAAACTGTGGCAGAAGAAAGGAGGGGTGGAACAGAAGAAACACTTTGTGGAAAAAAAGAAACACTTTGTCTACAACTACAACCCAGAGTCAAGAGACAGAACATTAAATGAAAACCAATCCTCAGAAGAGTCTCGAGAGCTCTGCTGTTGTAGGCTTTATTTGCTGTTTGAAACAATTTGATATCCTCAGTATTACACATATATTGTAAAAAGTAACTTTCCATCCAATTCTCACGTCCTATCTTTTTTATTATTTAGTTATTTGGAAGCTGCATGAGCTCAACATATGGATCTCAAAGACTACTCCATTTGTGCCCCCTAATGACTTTGTGAGTGTCCTCCTGGATTTGAAAAGGGTGGAAAATTAACAGAATCATCACTGAATCCCAGGACTGGAAGTGACCCAATAGATCATCCCATCCCACCCCCTGCCATAGGCTATCCCACATCCAGCCTGGCCTTGGGCATTTCCAGGGATCCAGGGGCAGCCACAGCTTCTCTGGGCACCCTGTGCCAGGGCCTCTGCACCTTCACAGGGAGGAATTCTTTCCCAATATCCCATCTATCCCTGCCCTCTGGCAGTGGGAAGCCATTCCCTGTGTCCTGTCCCTCCATGCCTTGTCCCAAGTCCCTCTCCAGCTCTCCTGGAGCCCCTTTAGGTCTCACCGGAGCCTTCTCTTCTCCAAATGAACACCCCCAACTCTGAACTGTCTGAAACTCAATCCAAACCCAGACTGTGCTTCTTGATGCTCCTAGACCAGAAAAACAACAACCTTGCATCCAGAATTCCCGAGCCCCCGCACCAAACCCGTCCGAGATGTGACTCCTCCAGCACCGCAGCACCTGGCACTGCAGAGGTGCAGGAGATGCCAGCACAGGAACCAAGGAGGCCAAGGAAATGAGGGACAATAAGCCAGGATGAGCACCCCAGGCCAGGGTAAAGGAACTGGGGGTGGGAAAAGCAGGAAAAGAGGCAACATGTGAGGTACGGGAATAGCACAGCACAAAGGC